TTATTTTTATGTTTTTAGCATTAGAGAATGAAAAGTTATTCCTATTTTACTGTTTATAAATACTTGACAATAACTAATTACCTATTAATGCTAGAGATACACAGATAATACCATTCAATGCATCTTGTTATGGTGATTCTAACAAGCTTTGGTTCATTGTTTAATGATCACTGGATGCTGAGAAAATGCAGTTATGCAATTCTGAAAAAAAACTGTCCGGTGATTTTTGATATCCCACTGTACAACTACTACTTATAAAGGCTTGGAAAATTTCATTAACTTACGAAGAAATATGAAATATCGAAAACTAGAAGTTGATTGGACTTCTACTTTCCAATGTCTTAATTGCGATATACAAAATAATGAAACTTCAATGTCGTTGTCTAAGATTAAAGCGCAGAAGGTTCACTTACTAATTGAGAAAATACCTACTATAGAACAAATGAAAAAGTCCTTTTTGGAGATTTATGATGACTGGAAGTGCCCAAGTTGTGGTCTTGAAGATGAAATATTCGATCACGTGTGGTCATGTGATGAATATAAGAGTACTTTATTGAGAATACGAAATAGAACTATCAATCTATTAGTATATTGGATTTTAGAATGTGACACTCACCTCTAAAATAGTCTTGTCAATTCCTCATTACTTAACCTTTACATATGGGATATTGAACATAATATTAACAAGTTTACCTTCATCGATCTCATTAAGGGTATCATCCCGTCAATGTTATATCAAACGATTAATTCTTGGACTACCAAAAATAATACAATAAATATCTTAATACAGATGCGACAATATATTTTTGAACAAACATTTACAGAAATCTGGCTTCCTCGATGCTCTTATTTAAAAGAGTTTGAACGGTCCTTGGGACTAACAAGAAAGAAAAAATTAACATTAAAAAATTTTAGATCGATACCCCCTAAAAATAATAATAATGATAATTTAGAATTTTCTTTTGATGCACTAGAAAGTATTAGAAAGAATATATATTTTGGTTATAATATTATTGATTTTTATACTAATCTCACTTTGTAAAGCGCCATGTAGATTTAAAATTATAACTTATAGAAATTTTTCATAGGTTTGTTTATTTTTCTTTTGCGAGAGCGGGTCTCAGTTCACCTCTTTGAGTGAAAGAGGCAGTGGGTGTCTATGGGAATGGTTCTTTAGTAGTAGGTTACTTTTAGATAGTTCTATTTATTATTCACTCCACTGTTGAAGTAGATTTATTCTTCTAGTAGTTTTGTTTATTTTATTATTTCATTTTTCATTTTTCCTTTTTGTATTGATTTGTTATAATATTTTATGTATGCATCCTACTATCTCTTAAATAAAAATAAAAAAAATAATAAACCATGTGTTATTGTTTTACTAATTGTGATTATCATTAATTTATAATTTTATTAATAAAAGAAAATAGTATGTATATACAGTGTTATTGTGTAATTATTAGATAAATTATAATAACTTTATTATAAAATGAGAAATTAAATTATGAAACGCACAATTTGGATTTTATCATCTGAATTGATGTCTGAACATCCAGATTTACAATCTTTAAAACAGATATATTTGGTGAATATCAACGGATACAACATAAATATAGACCTTATTGTATATAGTCAGCTCTCGATATAACGAACTCGCTTTTTGTAATTTTTGGATTCTATGCACTGTTACCATAATTTTTCCACCATATACCCTATAAAAAAACTGGATACGTTTTAATAAGATTTTTATATGATTTTTTTCCTTAGAAATAACGTATCACAATAGACCGTTGAAAAGAGCGAAAATGCACAATTCCATATCACTATAAATATGGTTTAGATACAGTATATATTTGCATGGAATTCATACAGAATTTACATGATTTAATCACTGATTTATCACGAAATTTATATTATTGCTTATTAAATTTACTGCTTATATTACAATTTATTACAAGACTTTATTTACATAAATTTAATTTTATTTTATTAAATCAAAAAATAAAAAAAAAATAAAATAAAACACAAATATATTATGAATAATTTATCCCTATCAAACCAACTTTTGATTTCTTTAAAGAAACATCATTATAAATATTATTAATGTTTCTTTTTGTTTTGGTTTGCAAAAGTCTCCAGGAGCAGTTAGTCCAAAAAAATAACCTATTCCTTCAAAATAAATGAAAAAAAATACTAATACGTTTCTTTAACTCAATTAGGCTAACGTTTCCCTATTTACCTATAATTCTGGGTTCGTCCATGCCATCAGGAGTCAGACAACCTATAACAAAAAAAAAAGAAATATAAGCTCCGCCTATATAGTACCTGCAATCATCCAAGTCTCCAAGCATCAGGTTCCTACCTGACCTACAAAAAAAAAGAACTTCCAAACTGACCTGAAAAAAGAAAAAAGGAACCAAGCAGCCAAAAAAAAACTGGTTTACAAAATAAAAAGAATAAATATAAATAAAAAAGAAAGGGTAGTAAGGTGGAAATAAAAAGTAAAATAAATAAAAAAAAATTTTTTTTTTTTTTGAAAAAGGAATAACGAAGTTAGGGAAATAAAAAAAGATTTTTAAAAGGATGACAAAGTTAAAAAAATAAAGCAGAAGGTAACTTACATAACCCGGCTTATAAGAACATCTCTTTTTAAATTAAGAACTCAGGAATTACCTGCACTAAATACGTCTTTTTATTCACCAGTCCTGACAAACCTTGTGTCAGCAGTCATGGTTAGTCCATCTTTAACCATTTTTTTCCTTTGGCCCTTCCTCTAAGGATACCTATGCTGCCAGAGGGGAGAACATTCAGAAATAATTCAGTAAAAAAGAGGTGCAAAAATAATTTTTTTTTAAAAAAAGAAAGGGTAATAAATGAATAAAACCAAAAAAAAAAAAATTATTTTAAAGAGATCAATGAAGTTAGAAAAATAAAGGAGAAGAAATTTTTAAAAAAAGGGTAATAAAAAAGGGGCAACAAATAAAAGAAAAAAGATTTTTTTTTAAAAAAGATAAGTTCAAAAATTCCGTATACATGTTGTATACTGTATATTAATTTTTCCGTATACATTCCATATGCACCAATTTTTAAAAAACATTTAAAAATGAATTACGTATTAAATATATGGGATTATTATACAGATTCGGCAAAAATACATATCAAACGTTTATAAATTGTATCCTTTCTCGATGACATATAAACTACTGATGAACGAACTGGAGGAAGGAAACAGTTTTCAACTTAACTCGTCTTTCAGTTATAAGATCAAACAATTTACACAAGTCCTACCCATGATGTGCACACTCCACGAACGGGAACCATATTTGTATATGTTGATGCGCTGTGTCAGATGTATGAAAACAATAGAGGACTGGAACCATCTCTGGAGGTGTAAAAGCAACAACACCAACATCACACAATTTATAAATAGCGCATGGGAGACTATAGCTGGGGAGTGGTTATCACTGTCAGAGGACGCGTCAGACACAAACTTTCATGTGAAAATCTTAAACATTTTGAATGAAAAGTCATCCTTTCTGAACCGTGCAAAAATATTTGACGAGGCAATTTGCAGTTTCGTAAACAAATCACTATATATGGGATACACTGACAACAAATATAAACAATTAATTGGAAAATTCATCACAAAATTCCAACTAGAAGTCAAAGAAATCTGGAAACAAAGATGTTCAGAGGTCATACAATGGGAAAAATGTCACGAAATCACATCAAAAATCAAAAAAGAACACACGACGATGAAAGTTATACAAAAAACTTTCTATAACAGAAATTATGAGCTAAGCAAAAAGGCATTCTTACAAGGTTGCATCGACAGATGGGTCGGGTCATGTGTAAAAGGAACAAGTAAATTAGAGAAGGTATGGAGGGAGCAGAAGGTCGACGACCTATGGACATACACTCTTAATAGGGATACATTATTTAGCGTAGATTGAAATATAGTTAGTTTTAATAACAATAGTTTACACAAAACAATTCAATTTAGCGTGAAGTTTAAAATTTAGATAGGTCTCCACTATCTCTATAGTGGCTTTAATGTATAGGTGTAAACTTTCTTATGCTTAAGTCAGCGGGTTATAACTGTTTAAGTCATATCCCCGAGGGTGTTCATTAAAGGAAAAAAAAAAAATCGTATCCTTTCCGGATACTTTATTATACCGGTTTTATATATTCATTATGCACAATATGATATAAAAAAATAACATAAATAAATTGCCAGTTGGTTCAATTGCTTAAAGCGCACACTTAGCTTCACAGTCTGAAAATCTGAAATCTTTGTAGCTGCATTAGAATTCTTTTTTGCATTTGTGAATACACAGCACATACACATATGCTATATAATCATTTTTTTTTGTTACCCTTAATTATGATATTATGATATGAATCATCTGGATTCATTTCAACTAAGTATGAGATTAGAGGATTTAATTTGACATCAGATATATTGCATAAATATGTCATATAATAACAAAATGCACAATAAATCGCCCGGTTAGTTCAGTTGGTTAGAACGCCACACCCTACATATGATTGGTTGTTTAATAATATGATCGTGGAAACGCGGGTTCGATTCCTGCACTGGGCTTTTTCTTATGAACAATTTTTTTTTTTAAATATTCATATAATTATATTGCTGCGACTAATCAAATCTCATTAACCGCAGTAATCCCTTCAGTACTAATATCTTATGGTTATAAGTTAATAATTCGTGTGCGTGTGTTTTATGCAATAATAATAATGAAAATATATGTAATATATAATATGTAAAATTATATATATATATATATATATATATATTTTAAAAAAAAAATTCTTTGTGCGGTTAATCAATTACATCGATTATTAGCGCTGGTGAAATAATCGATAATAAAAGGTTTTTTTCATATGTTAATGGTACACGATCTTTTACGAATATATAAACAAAAATCAGCGGGAGCCAATAATTTATGTTCATTATATATAGCACTCGAAATATAAATAAATTGCCTGGTTAGTTCAGTTGGTTAGAACGCCACACCCTACATGTGATTGTTTAAAGTTGTTTAAAAAGATCATGGAAACGCGGGTTCAATTCCTGCACCGGGCTTCTTTTGTGCATAATCTTTTTTTTTTTATTGCCATAACTAATCATGACATAAACGGTACAATATGTGAATCACGTTGATAAAGTACGCAAATAATAATTTTTTATATAACTGATAAATAAACTTACAGGAAATTTATAATCAAGTTATTAACATCAATTGGTAAAACGCCATATTTTTTGCTTAGCTTTCATTTATATATATGAAGCGCATCACAAGTGCGATTTTAATTCTAACTAGGTTTAACGTAAGGGCATTTTGACATTTATACCTTCGCATTTTATAGTTATTTATTCTCATTTATTATACTTTTTGGCTGGGTAAACAGATTTTTAAACTGGTTACAAAGCTAAGTTAATATCTAGTTTAAACCGAATTTTAAACCATTTCACATACTGTCTCTGTAAGTTCCTATTTTTCAACCAAGTTTTACAGAAACTAAGTTTGGAAGTATTGAACATCCACCTATGCACTTGTGACACAAATAATAAGGTTATAATTTATAAACCTTTGATGATCACCGTGAACATATCCCAAAATATGATACCACGTGAATCTGCGACAATAATAAAATTTTTGATCATCGTTATGCGGTTATGTCGATTTCTAATCGACTAACAGACTCCTGATTCCCTGAATAAATCCATAATTTACAATTTGTTGAGACATTTTAGAAATTTCTGGTAAGAATTTTACTTTATTTAAAACTCTTGGCATCACATCATTTTTCTAAAAAATTATTCGTTTACTTGATTTTACTAAAATATTTTTATGCGATTTAATCTTCTGCTGTGCCTCCTTTCTCCGATTCTTAAGTTATAATTTATTTTCCTACGAATAACTCAAAACTATTTTCACACAATTCTGAAACAAGTTTAACTATATCAGCGTCAAGATATATGTATCGACTTACAGTATGTTATGGAAAAATTTTGACCACTGTGCTAAAAACATCATTTATTTTCTCTTGAACGCTGTAAACGGTCTAACAGGTCTAACAGGTCTAACAGTACAACTTCCTATTCTATTAAATATTATATTTAAGTAGGTTGACAGTTAGATCATAAATAAATTTAAAATTAATTTTTGGTATAATGACTATAATGTGACATTATTTTTTATTTTTTAACGTTTTTGAATCTTTCACTTATTGTAATGTTTGATGTAAAAAAAAAAAGGTTTTAGATAATGACCAGCAGAAAGAGTTCAGTTTACAATTATTTTTTATATCTAAAGACTTTATTGTAAGAATATATTCTAAACAAAATAAAAAGAGACGCTGTTTGTTATGACATGACATTTAGCACGTCTTTTTACGAAAAAAGATTTACTTTAAAAATGATCTAACGTTAATTGGTTAATTGGAATGATCGATAAATTGATACTGTAAATGGAAATATGATTTGTAGCACGTAGCACATAATTTATACCAGATTTCCAAATTTGTTTAATTGTACACGTCTTTTTACTCTATTTAAAGTGTATTTTTTCGCTCAAAAAAATTTTATTATTCAATGGAATCTCTTACAAAAAATTCCTTAGACTTAGACAGTGGGAAGGAAATCATTAAAAAAAGTTTTGCAAAATGGACATTTGATAATTTCATTCAAAGAAAGCAATTAAGTTACAATGGAAAGGGAGCATTATTTGAATGGATACCATATAATGAGCTTATCGATATTAAAGAAGTAGGAGGTAATTGTTTAGGTACAGCAATATACCCTATAAAAAATAAATGTCTGGAAAATGTTATCAAAAATGTTTGGAAAATGTCCAGAATAAATCTGATGTGTCCGGAAAATGTCCACTTTTTTGGTACATGTCTGACACACTTCTGATACTTAAAATTTTAACATGTCCTAACTTTGTCTAGAATTTGTCCTGTATTTGTTTGGTATAAAATTTTGGACAAATTCTGGACAGTTAAACCTGGACAAATTCTGGACATAGTAAAAAAACCAGATAGACAAATTCCGGACACCATTTCCAAAAAAGGATAAATTAATTTGTAAAAAAATGCAAAAAGCACAAAACTGACATTCAAAATCTTTTCTGTCGTACTAATTAAAATTGCAGAGCAGGCAAAAATACTATAATCTATGATATAAAAATTTTAGGTTAAGGAATAATGATGATCATCTATCCATTGATCATCTTTTGTGGCAAAATTTTATGAAAATACATTTCCAGACAATTTCAGGACAAATTCCTAATATCCCAAAAATGCAGTATTTTGAAACAGTTTCCAGACACACAGTATCCAGAATTTCCAGACAATTATTTAGACAATTTTTCTGGACATTTTCTGGACATTATCTGTACACATTTTTTATAGGATATGGAAAGAAGGATCATTACATTATTGTGAAAATGAATGCCCTATGAAAAAAGAATGTCTGGAAAATGTTTACGAAAATGTCCAGAAATTGTCCAGGTGCTTCAAAAATTGTCATGAAAATGTCCAGGAAATTGATCTCTTTTGTTGTCTGGAATTTTTTGCATGCCCAGTTTTTTTTATACATGAAATTTTCCAGACAAATTCTGGACAAATAAACCTGACAAATTCCGGACATAAAATATTCCGGACATATTCTGGACAAAATAAACCAAACAAATTCTGGACATAAAATATTCCAGACATATTCTGGACGAAATAAACCACATAAAATATTCTGGACATATTCTGGACAAAATAAACCAAATAAATTCTGGACATTTTAAATTCCAGACAAATTCTGGACAAATAAAACCAACAAATTCCAGACATAATAAAATTCTGGACAAATTCTAGACAATGTTTCTAAGAATATAAAATTTTAAATTTTAAAAAAATGCAAAAAGCACAAAACTGATATTTATAACCGCCCCCTGACGTAATAAGTAAAATTGAAGAGCAGCCAAAAATGCTATCTATGATGTTAATTCAAACTTTGGTTAATCGTGTAGGAAGTGGTAAACTCCTGCTAATCATCCAGGATAAAATTGGATTGTTCAGAATTCTGGAAAATTCCAGACAAATTTGAACCTGGACATATTCCGAACATCCAGAAACGCGCACGTTTTGAAATATTTTCCAGATTTACCAAACGTCCAAAAATTGTCTGTTTATTTTTCTGGACAATTTCAGCATGAATTCTGGATGCATTTTTTTCGTAGGGATGGATAAGAAAATCGTATGAAAAAGTTGTATTAAGGTTTTTTTATGGCTCTCAAAAGGAAAATGATGAGTTGTTAAGAAAATCTAATGTAAATTTTTTAATAAGGTTTTTATTAAACATTCAAGTAACTATTTCTTACGAATTTATGAATAAGGTATTAAATCTTTATAATAATTTATTGGGAATTTTGTTATACATGTTTATTTATTTGTTTTTTTTTTTTTTTTATAGGTCGAATCATATTGTGATGAAAATTTTAGTGGCAATTATGGAATATCTCAAAACCCAGACACGAAAGATTATATTTTGGTTTTTTCCCAAGATTATCTTAAACAATATTGTAAAGTATGTTATAATAAATATGAATTTGAATGGTGTAAAACATGTCAAATGAATATTCTAAAAAGTAATTTTGCAAACTGGACTAGTGGAAATAGAAATATTAATAGTTTCATTCAAAAAATGCAATCAAAAATCAATAAACCTGGTGATATTATATTTGAATGGATACCATATAATAATTTCATTAATGTTAAAGAAATAGAAGGCAATTGTTTGATTACAACAATATGGAAAAATGCGCCATTTTATTATGATATTAGTAAAAAGGAATGGACAAGAGTATCATATGAAAAAACTTGCTTAAGAAATATATATAATTCACAATATCTTACTGACAAACTTTTAAATGAGGTATCAAATTTTCTATTAATTTAGTTTGAATATTAAACACCGTAAACGTATATTAATATAACATTAACTTTTTGTTTTATTTAATAGGTTGAATCATATTTATTAGATTATGAAAACGAGCGTCAAAGGTATAATGAAAGTAAAAAATGTCAAAATTATGGAGTATCTCAAAATCCATATACAAAAAATTATATTTTGGTTTTTGACATTAAATATATACAATTTTATTGTGAAAAATGTGGCAATAAATATGAAAATTCATATAGTAAATGGTGCCAAGCATGTCAAATAAACTATTTTAAAAATAATTTTACAAACTGGACTAGCGGAAACGAAAAAATTGATGATCTTATCCAAGAAGAGCAATTAAAATATGGTGGACATGGACATGGCACGGTATTTGAATGGATACCATATAATATGATTAACCCATTATGGAAATATCACATGAGAAGACTGTGAATCACAAGTTAACCACGTGATCCTGCAGCATCTATTTTTTGTTTTACTTTCCTACGGTAAATAATACATTTTTTAACTTTTTTAAACGTGTATTCTGATAAATCTTTCACTTGGGATTTTTTAGATATGGTAAAATCATATTTGTCACCATGCTAGATTTCTTAATTCGGCCATGGGAAGATAATACTGGGTAAATGTGATCACGGCTCAGCCATGATCGGTAAACTTAAGAAAGTTAGACCGTGGCTGATATCCGTCAATCGTCATTTGATCGATCGTATCAATCGTATTAACGAAAAATTTAATATTGTCATCGTTAGTACAATAGCTGTCTACATGTCTACATTATTTAAATCAATTATAATTAATAGGAAAAGATTACAAATGATAACAGATAATTAAGAATCGTGGTATAAAATTTTACATATATAAATATTTAAATGAAAGATAAATAAATTGCGTTTTCCAAATATATCCAAATCCGAAAAAACATCTCTAGCCTGCTGCTTCACGTCGTGTATTAATAAAAGTGACATACTGGACAAATCTTGTTAGGTTACAAATTTTTTTAAATAGATGTATGAAATGGAGAAAAAAAAAAAAAATTTTTTTTTTAAAAAATGTGGACAACACAATTATATTCACGAAATCTTTACGCCAAAGTGATTGTACTATTTGTATTCATTTTA